AAGACCACTTAATGTTATCTCACATATATATTATTATTATTATTATTATTATTCTTATTATAGCAAAATTTGCCACCCTAACTCCTCCCACAGTTTTTACACTACATAGACTAAAATTTACCAAAACGTGCAGATTGTTCCCGATCGGATTGCTATTACTTTGTGGAACGTTTCGCCGAATGGTTCACGGAATATCGTCGTTTTGTGGCGAAATTTGTCCCATAGGAATGAATGGCAAAGCTAGAGTGGGAGCTGGCAAAAGCTGAAAAATCAGGACATGATTTCTAAACTGCCACCACTCCCTTATTTTCAGGCCCACCTACACAAATCTTATATCAAAACGTTCAGCTATCCCTGCTGCCACTAAACATGTCAACGGCTAAGCCGTAGTCCTGATAGTTTTCACAATATGACCATTTGTTTGCAACCAACGCCGCCCATTGACATTCATTGAAACTTCACTCTGCAAAGCTCAAATTTGAAGTGCAATTTCTAAACTGCGACTGTGCCTTCAATTTTAATACTTCAGAGACATACTATGCATCAAAATGTAGGTCTGGGTCTTGTGATTCTCACAATATAAAGCTCTTCTTCACTGTAGGATTTATAGTTTTTAAAATATGACTGTTTGAAGATGGCAACCACCAAAATACTCTGACCTGTCAAGGCTGCAGCAGCAAGTGATGTCATAGACAGGGCCTTTTGAACACCTGCTAATGTTTTATAAATGTATGGTTTAATGTAACTGTGCAACAACGTTGCAATTGAATGTGCTAGACTACTGGTGGAGGCAAGAACACTTCACACAATTTCCCCAGAAATTGTAGCTTTTCTAGTTATTATTATTTTATTATTTATATAGCGCCAACAAATTCCGTAGAGCTGGACAATGGGTGGACTAACAGACACATAATTGAGATCAGACCACTGACGTACAGGAACAGAGGGGGTTGAGACCCTGCTCGATGAGCTTACATGCTAGAGGGAGTGGGGTATAGTGACACAAAGGGTTAAAGTAGGGGAATTACATAGTTTGTTAGAGAAGGGTTTATTGAGTGCTTGGTAGGTCATTTTTGACAGTTGCGGGAAAGGAGTCATGGGGTGGGGGATGGGAAACCTGCTGACAGTTTAATTGATATGCTTTAATGAAGAAGTGAGTTTTCAAAGATTTTTTGAAGGAGTGGAGGCTGGCTGAAAATCTGATTGAGGAGGGAAGGGAGTTCCACAGAATAGGTGCAGCCCTGGTGAAGTCTTGAAGGCGAGCATCAGAGGTGGGGTTCCGGGCAGAGGATAGGCATAGGTCTTGGGCTGAGCGCAGGGGTCCCGCCTATGGATATAGTGTGGTTCTTGGTGGTTGCGGTCACTCAAATGGTGGAAAAATAAGCAGCTATGCGGATATGGGCTTAGGATATTATAGTGTAGTGCCCACTTGTAAGTATAGATGGTGATCTTTTCCCTCCAGAAATATGGGAGAAAAAGGAAAAACAAAATAGTGTGTACTGTAAGGCACAGAATACAATAAAAGTGGTAAGAAATTTACTCATATTTGATGGAGCAGATGTGGACTGCTCTATCCCTCAGGTTTGGGTGGTACAATCCCCACCACAAATACGGCAGTTCAAGCAGAATAGCAACAAAGGTTGGTCCAATAAAAAAGTACTTTTATTTAAAGGTAATTGATATAAAAATATAAAACAAGAAAAAATACACTCAAAGTGAGGTAGATAATATTAAATATACTTAACACGTTTCACCTGGCAAGAGGCTTTCTCGAAGGTGTTTTACAGACATGGGAAACCTAAGCTGCTTAAATATGGGGGAGGGGGGAATTTAAAAATACTGGTTCTGTGACATCACAGGTCACATGACCGAAAATAATTAATTAATATAATCAATAATACAAAGATATTAAAATAACTAAAAATTTAGTAAGGTAAAAGAGAAGGGTAGTGGGGAGTGGATGGAATTAGAATAAGTAAAAAATAAGCATTTTTAAGTCTAAAAAAACTTTATTACAAAAAAAGTATATGTGATGTGTAAAAACAAAACAATATGACGTTGGGCCGCGTCACATGACCGGCCCGGCCAATAGTAATCCTTTTGTTGAGACTAAGATAAACTATTCCCTTAATGGGTATGCAGAGCGATAGTGCTATTAAAGGTTAAAGCAATAGATGTTAAAAGGGTGAGAGCCCTGAGTAAGATCGGGCTCCACCAAGATGATGTCCGTGTGCAGCAATCCAGGCTACACAAATATTTGTGTAATTGGAAGCTGGCAGCTATCGCCATCTGATGGTTAAAAGGAATTCTGTAAATAAGCGACTGCTGATATACTAGCAGAATGGCGGATGGCACCATCTAGTGGAGTAAAAAGAAAATTGCAGTAACTTAGAAACAAAAATCTGAATGTATAAAGCAAGATAGACTCCAGTAAAATACCAAATATAATTAAAGTTAGTGCATAAAACTAGTAAAGGGTCAGATAGGATAGGGGGAAATGGAACACATGAATTAAAAGAACATATGTTGTTATAAAAACAATACAAAACTAACTATATAAAAATCAGCATTAACCCCTTAACGCCGTTAAGGCATTCTATGCCGCCCCGCATTAAGTGGGCTTTAAAGCCGTTGCGGCAGCATAGAACGCCGTAACGGCTTTAAGCCCTGGAGCGCCTGGGATACTTACCTACCTGGCGCTCCGCTACAGGAGGACTGCCTCACAGCCCAGGCAGCCCTCCCACGGCAAATGAGGCCCTCGGGGGCCATGTGATCGTTCTCAAAGAGCGATCACATAGCCCCCTATAGCTGGCTGTGGATCTGCCAGCAGGGGGACTGTATGAAATGTCAAACAGTCCCCCTGCTGGTGGAAAATGAAAAAAAAAATGTTATTTTGTTATAAAATATATGTTATGTTATAAAATAAAATATATATATTTATAAATATATAATATATGTATATATATTATATTATATATACATATTATATATATGTAACGTCATACATTATGTATTTTAATATTAATATTAGTACATATATAAGTATTAAAATACACTTAGAATGACGTTACATATAATAATATATATATATATATATACACATATATTATATATATATATATATATGTATAATTACAATAATAAATAAATAAAATAATAAAATTAATAAATAAAATATTGAAATAAAATTTTATATAAATTATATATTCATATGTAATTTCATTCTAACTGTATTTTGTTATTAATATATATATATTGGTAGTAAAATACACTTAGAATGACATTCTATATATATCTATCTATATATAAAATACAAATAACCGCAAATATATATAAATACATATAATTACATAAAAGATTACATTAGTATACACGTAGAATTTAAATACCTATAAATGCATAAATATTAAAATTCTACGTGTATATTTAAGTAATCTTTTAATATCATTATGTGATTTGATTAATTAAAATTTGATTGACATGCCTGACAACACAGGGAGAAAGTGCAGAGAATTTAATTCGCAAGCACTATATTTGACCCTGTAACTCTGCAAGACACCAAAAAACCTGTACATAAGGGGTACTGTTTTACTCGGGAGACTTTGCTGAACTCAAATATTAGTGTTTCAAACTGGTAAATTGTATTACAATGATGATATTTTAAGTAAACGTGACATTTTTGCATGTTTTACAAATGAACGGCACTTTTATGGACTATATTATTGTTGTAATATGTTGTACTGTTTTAAAACACTAATATTTGTGTTTAGTGAAGTCTCCCGAGAATAACAGTACCCCCCATGTACAGGTTTTATGGTGTTTTGGAAAGTTAGAGAGTCACATATAAGGCTTGCATTTCATTTTTTGACTTTGAAATTTGCCAGATTGGTTATGTTGTCTTTCAGAGCGTATGGTAGCCCGGGAATGAGAATTACCCCCACGATGGCATACCATTTGCAACAGTAGACAACCCAAGGTATTACAAGTGGGGTATGTCCAGTCTTTCTTAGTAGCCACTTAATCACAAACACAGCGGAGTCCTCCCAAACTGCCATGAAGAGATTAGCATAGCTGGAGGCAAACCTAGTCCCCATCACTGTGCCTGTCTTCTGGAGGTAAAACGTATCATAAAACCAAAAATAATTATTTTCTAAAATTAGACAAAAACCCTCCAGAATAAAAACAATTTGATTGGTGGGCATATTGCGTTCTTTTTCTAAAGTATTTTTAATAGCACCACAGCCAATATTGTGGGGGTTTATGGGGTACAGGGATGTTTTTCCCATGTAAAATTCTTTAGTAATCGTAACAGACTCATGTTATCCTTTATATATGATCTAGTTTTTTGTAGATAGGGTTGTAGAATGAGGTCAATATATTCAGACAAGGTAAAAAGCACAGAGTTAATACCTGAATGGGACAATGGGGCGATCCGGGGGGTTGGTAATATTTTTATGTATTTTGGGGAGGAAGTATATAACTGGGACAGTAGGGAATTGCATATTAAGATAAGAAAATTCAATATTATTTAGGATATTGTTATCATTCCCTTTATTAAGAAGATAAAGGAGAGATTTTTTTACCTTGTTCAAGCAAGTAAACGTTATTTGTGCCTTGTGTTGATTTTGCTAGCGTAATTTTCCTGATCAATGCACAGGCAAAACATAGCAGACAGCAAAAAGCTGGAATGGAATCTCACAGGGCTTTTCACTAAAGTAAGAATTGTCAAAATTCAGGGTTATTTATCAAAGTGAGAACTGTCTAGAATTTAAAGTGAATTTTACATTTTAAGGCCAAAGTAACTGAACTGGCATTTTTAAGTCAGTCAGTTTTTCCAAGTCAGTTGGCTTTAAATTTGAAATTCATGTTGTTGGGAATTCACTTTGAATTCCTAACAAGTCTTACTTTAGTTAATAACTCTATTAATAAGATGTAAAAAAAACCAAGGAACTTTGTTGATAGAGCTCCTGGAATACATACAATAAAATAACTGTTTTTTCCCCATTTAAACAAAAAACTAATTCTCAATGAAATGTCTAATTCACATACTTTCTGGTTTCCACATAGAAGGAAAGATCATTAATCAAGTAATTGACCAGGATGGATTGATTAATCACAACACAACGTATTGGCGGGAAATTTTCAGATTCATCTGCAACACGAAATTTGGAATGTTGTGCACTTGCAGTTTTAGCAGGAACTTTAACGGATGGCGCAGTCACAACTGGAACATCTGTGAATGAATATAACTATGATGTGTAGAAGACTGTGATAAAATTGAAACAAAAACAGTTTACATTGCCAGAATTTCCACTGCCTTTTTAGTAACTTAAATAGACACTATAGGCATCCAGACCACTTCAGCGCATTAAAGTGGTCTGGGTGCAGTATCCCAGGTGTCTTAACCTTTTTTAATAAAGTGAAATAATAGCCTGCCACCTCTAGTGGCTGTCTGCTTGGGACTTCCGGGTCTTTAGGCGAGTTTTGGTTGCCTGACGATGGATGTCCTCACGTTATGCATGAGGACATTCAGCGTCACCCAAAGCCCCATAGGAAAGCATTGTATAATGCATTCCTATGGGGGAAGTCCTTATGTGACCATGGCATGCGTGTGCATTAGGTCCCTCCACCGACTGATGTTGAAGGGGGAGGAGTGAAGGCGGAGCCTGAACTGGTTCTAAGGGACATTGGTGCTGGAATCAGGTAAGTGACAGAAGAGTTTTTTGACACTAACATACAAATAAGCAATATCTATAATCACAGTAGTCCAAAGGAGCTGGAATTCCAGATGTTAATTATACCTTGATCTGAGACGCTGTGCTAATTTCCATTATCTTTATAGTTTGCAGTAAGCAGTAGCTACCCTGCATGCAGATTACTGAGTAGTTATCTCAAAGTTGTAAAAGTAAAAATGTAAGCGTGCCATATAGGTTTGCCAGAACAACCATTTTTACAAGACAAATCACTTCTACTTGCTGATAAGCAGTACATAGAAAGCACTGCCCTTCAGTAAGCAGAGTTACAATACTATATAAGTCATTTCAGAAAACCCAAAGGTGCTTCCTTGACTAATTGCATATAAATGCTACAAACTACACGCCATTACATTTCAAGAAGTATGTGTCTAGGAAAAAATTACGTTTTGGCAACCGTACTCATAGAAAATAAAACATAGAAACATAGAATGTGACGGCAGAAAAGAACCATTCGGCCCATCTAGTCTGCCCAATTTTCTAAATACTTTCATTAGTCTCTGGCCTTATCTTATAGTTAGGATAGCCTTATGCCTATCCCACGCATTCTTAAACTTCTTTACTGTGTTAACCTCTACCACTTCAGCTGGAAGGCTATTCCATGCATCCACTACCCTCTCAGTAAAGTAATACTTCCTAACATTATATTTAAACATTTGCCCCTTTAATTTAAGACTATGTCCTCTTGTTGTGGTAGTTTTTCTTCTTTTAAATATAGTCTCATCCTTTATTGTGTTGATTCCCTTTATGTATTTAAATGTTTCTATCATATCCCCCCCTGTCTCATCTTTCCTCCAAGCTATACATGTTAAGATCCTTTAACCTTTCCTGGTAAGTTTTACACTGCAATCAATTAACCAGTTTAGTAGCCCTTCTCTGAACTCTCTCTCGAGTATCAATAGGGGTTAAATATAAAAGGTCTATAAGTAACTGAAGCAAAATGACATTTTCCCCAGGGTACACAATATAGTCAGTGTAATAAGTGACAAATGGAATCCCAAGTTGAGTGCTAACTGAAGGAGAATACAACCATTTTTTGCATTACACCCAACAGAAATATGTTTTGCCTCACTCACAACCCAACTAACCACACATATGGTCTATAAAAAAATACATTATGTTCCTTAAACAATATATACATAGATATCTGATTGTATGAATACAGAATTGTGGCTTCTTACTTTCTAAACTGCTGAATACCTCCAGACGCAAGAAATGTTCAAATTCTCTCTTAGTTAGGGGATTATCCATTGCGCGATGGAATTTGCATGTAGAGTAGACAAACTCAATTAAAGTGCTCCATGCTTTTCTCTGACGTGAGACACACAATCAAGTTCAAATTAATTGACAGTGATGAAAATATCATGTATCATCAGTTATAATTGACATCACAGATTTTATGAATCACTTACAAATATAATGATAATATGTATCACAAGTCAATTTACAACAGTCCATTGAATTAAATATTAGATCGTTGCTCATAATACTCCTTTAAAATGGACCCGACACTTCTTTGGAATTCTTTGGAACCATTTTATTTCAAACTTAATATTAAAGATTTAGCAGGTTACATCATAACCAAGTTCAGACAGGGCAAAGCCAGTGCAAACATTGTAAATGAGTAGGAGAAATAAAAACATTGTTCCATTGTTTTCTCTCTCTCTCTCTATGCTGATAGTCAAGTATGGAGGACAGAGTTTATATCCATGATTGACAATGGGCTAATGTGGAGGTGCCAACTAAGTTGAAAGATAATGAGATGTGGATTTCTATTTTTAACATTATTTTTCACACCTCTCAAATACATACAGGGATCAGTAAACACAACGTTAACAATTCATGAAAGTGACAGTTCCTCTTCTACATTTTGGGGAATTGTCCCAGGAAAAATAAGTTCAGTAGATCTGCCCAACAGTTCCATCTACAATACAGTAGGAAGATGCAGGAAGGGGATGGGCACTATTACCATGTACAGAGTTCCCTGTACATGGTCTGCCTTGAGGAACAGGCTGTCAGTCAAAGGTGGACTTGCCCCTCTCATGCCCCTTTCACAGCAGGCCTGTTCTCTTGCCTGCCAAACTCCATCCACAATGGTAGGCAGAGAAATTTGGCAGGTAATCATTATTCACATAGTCATATTGACACACAAGCTCATTTCCAGCAGCGGAACTACAAGTGTTGCAGTCTGCATCACTGCACAAGGGCCCCCTAGGGTTCTCCCACAGCTCTTTGGAGTGAGAAGATAGACTGCAGGCTCTCTTGACCACCTTATCACCACCAATAAAGTTTCTGTTGTAGATAGACAAGGTGGTAGGCCCATATGGGAAGGTTTATTCAGAGCCTCAATGCTTAGGGTGCTGGATCTTTGAGGGCAGCAGCTGACTGTCGCTTGGGAAGGAGGGTGGGGCATGGATGGAAGATGGGAGGGAGACATGGATGGAAAGGGAGGAAGAGATACATGGAAGGGGAGGAAGAGAGATGTGGAAGAGAGGGAAAGACTTGGATGGAAGGGGGGGAAGAAGAGACAAGGCTAAAATGGAGGATGAAGAGACATGTATGGAAGTGGGGATGGAGAGACATGTATGGAAGGGGGGGACAAAATACATTGAATTGAGGGTAGAGAGAAATATGGAAGGGGAAGAGAGAGACAAGGAAGGAGTGGGAGTGAAAGACATGAAAGAAGGGGAGAGAGAGAGACATGGAAGGAGGAAGGAGAAACAGGCATGGAAGAAGGGGGAAAGAGACATCGAAGAAGGGTGGGAGAGAAACATTGACGTGTAATGCAATATCTAATGCTGTGGAAAATGCTGTGGAGGCATTCTGGTGCTGTGGAAATAGGCAGTAAGAGTGAAAAGGTGCAGACAACATGGTGTGAAGAGGAGCAGAGGCGATAGAAGGAAGCAAGGTAAGGGAAAGCAGATGGAAATGTATGTGTACATAAAAAATGACTGGGGACGGCAAAATGTACCTTTTGCCTAGGGTGGCAAAAAGTCTTGCACTGGCCCAGTCTGTGAGTGTGTGTTCATGTGTCTGTGAGTGAATATGTCTGTGTATATGTGTGACTACCTTGATGTGCCTGTGTGTGCGTGCATGACTGTGGGGGAGAGGGAGGCTTGTGTCTTGGACCCAGGCTGCACAATGCCTTGGGTTGGCCATTTTTACACACAAACACACCCTTGCATTCAAACGCTAGCCCTACACACAAATACACCACTGCATTCAAATGAAAACACTCACATACAAACACACAACTGTATTCAAACATCAACACTATACATAAATACTTCCCTACATTCATGTACACATATTCCATACAAAAACATGCTTACACTGAAACACACTACTCACAAATAGAACCCTGCAAGGATGGGCAAATAATAAATAGCCAGCTGGTAAAGCCTTGTTATGGCTACTGTTGGGTTGGAGGGGAGGCCAAAAACATTATTTTACTCAGGCCCTCTCTATATTACTTCCACCATTGCATCATTCACATATTCATATAGATGCAGAAGCATTCTTACTGTCTTGCCAAGTGAAAAACTGTCTCTGTGTCTCTTCATTTTGCCATGTTCAGAATCTGTCTCAGGGAAATCTGGAAACAGATTCTGATATCTTCTAAACCTATTAAAAAAAGAACAGAGAAATTATCACTATCAACAATGGGGATACAATATATCAAAACGTGCCCTTCTAAAACCTCTCAAAAAATGTTGAATGTTGTTTTTATGGTAATTAAATCTATCTACAGATTCTAAAGCTGTCAAAGTAGAACCGTAGGAGAATGTCCACAGATTTGCCATGGTGGACTGGATACAAATTGCTAAATAGTGATACAATTCCACTTGGCCAAACCATTTTTCCTAAAAATAGAAAAGATTTCTGGACACCAACATTTTGGCAGACGTTAGTCCGGCTCAGGAAAATTTCAGTATTGAAATACTAATTTGGGAATGAACCAAAAAAAAATGCAGAATATATAAAGTGCGTGATAATATTTTGTAGCACACTAATGGGAAAATTTTCCTGCCATTCGGCTTACAGATCAAGTGAGAAAAAGTAACCAACCAAGGGAAAAACAGGAAGAGCAGGATAAAAATCTATGTTTATATATTTGTATATTATATCTCTACATATAGATACATTTAGATTTTCACTGCTCCTCCTTTTTTTTCTCTTTGGTGCTCAATTCCCAACTGATATGGGAATAAAATCAACTCTTTTTTTGAAGCCATCGGCAGAATTCAGAATCATGAACTGAAGCAAACAAGCTCGGCCATTGCACATTTCAGTTGGCTTATGATTCAGGTTCATTTCGGCTCAGAGTTTGTCAATTCAACAGATCACCCAATTGGCCAAATTCAGATGAATTACAGTTCAGAACTAAATGAATTCAGAACTGAAATAGTTATCTTTTGGTAAAATCTCCAGCTGGTTGTAAAGCCACACATTGCAAGTGATGTTCATATAAATTATGATTTAAATAAAATTGAAAAACATTGATATTATTATTATGTTATTATTATTATTATTATTATTATGTTATTATTTATATAGCACCACCAAATATGAGTGCAGTGTCTCAGTGCAGTGTCCCAGCCCCACTTAGTTGTAGATCAACTGCAATGATTACATTACAGGACTAAGACGGCCTCTAGTCAACTTTGTATTCCTTACACAACAAATTCCACAGCGCTTTACAATGGGTAGACGAACAGACATGTAGTTGTAACCAGACAAGTTGGACACACAGGAACAGAGGGGTTGAGGGCCCTGCTCAATGAGCTTACATGCTAGAGGGAGTGGGGTAAAGTTACACTAAAGGTAAGGATAGTATTAGACTAGTGACAGTTGCAGAAGAGGAATCAGTCAGGAGCTATTAACAGTTAAAGTGATATGCTTTTATGAAGAAGTGGGTTTTAAATGATTTTTTGAAGGAATGGAGACTGGGTGAGCATCTAACGGAGGAGAGATCTTGAAGGCGAGCATCAGAGGTAGGTAGCAAGCTATTTGTCCACAAAGCATCCGGTAGATAAAAGAGAAAATATCAGGCCACGTCCTCTGTAAATTCCTATCTAAGGAACTATGTATTGAAAGTGTCTGATAGAAAATAGGGAACGGGGAAGGTGCAACAATATGTTGGGGTCCATTGAGCCCCCCAACGTAGTAAGGGGATGTAGCACTCCACTTTTCATGGTTAACAGTCAATGCACTTACCATGCAATCTCCATGCTTCGAAATACACTGGACTGAGCAGAGACAAGGACTGGCAAAGATTTTGTCTTTACAAACTCTTGTATACTAGCATCACCGCATTGCAGTATGCTCTCTGTCAAATATAGGGAGAAAATAATGAAATTGAAAGATAATACTCAAATAGTGATGGTTAACCCAGAGGCACACCAAGGTTATTGGTGCACAGGGTAGATCATGTTAGATCACGACTAAGATCACGACTAAGGCAAAGGAAATGTTTTTTTACTGTAAGAACAATAAGGCTCTGGAATTCTCTGCCTGAAGAAGTGGTTGTATCAGAGTCCATACAGATGTTCAAACAGCAACTAGATGCATACTTGCAAAAATAGAATATTCAAGGATTTAATCTTTCAGTGTAGGGTAATAGCTGCTTGATCCAAGGATAACTCTGACTGCCATTCTGGGGTCAAGAAGGAATTTTTTTCCTAGCTTGTTGCAAAATTGGAAGTGCTTCAAACTGGGTTTTTTGCCTTCTTTTGGATCAACAGCAAAAACAAATGTGAGGAAGGCTGAACTTGATGGACGTAAGTCTCTTTTCAGCTATGTAACTATGTAACTATGTTGATATTACAGTAATATCATTTCAGACACATATACCAATGTAACTGGTTCCATCTGTCTCAGCGAGATTCCTCCTAGAAACCACATCATCTCACTCACTGCCTGGGGAGACCCAAGAGATGTTTTCCTGGAGCAAGTACAAACAAATCAAATGTTGCCACAAAACCGATCTCTAGGTATCTCTTAGATAAACTGCAATGATTACATTACAGGACTAAGATGGCCTCTAGTCAACTTTTTATTCCTTACACTATAGAACCCCTTTAATGAGAATGATGTGAGGCTACAGGTAACAATCTATATGCTTGTTGTTCAGAGGGAAATTCTCACAGGCCTCCCTTGTTCATTGCTAATAATGAGCATCTGAGAGTTAAATAAATATAGAAAACAGAGAAATTCCCCTTAGTCCTAGATCAACAAAACGTTGAATCTATGGCTAGGGGAATGGGTCAGAGAAGGTGGTACCAGCTCCACCAAGTATGGGCATGAACCCTA